CACCAGAAAGTTGTATCATGACAAAACTAAGTAACGAACAAGAATAACATAAATACAAAAATCTTATTGTGCCCTACAAACGAGAGACATCAATCTCCGTCATGCACAACCTACAACTAAAAAACGGATATATGAGCTTAAAGTTATATAATCAAAAAAGTTCTACACTTTATCAAAGATTAACATACCAAAGTGAAAGGATAAGGCCATGTAGATTGTTGCTCCAAAAGCATCTTCAATTGTAATAAACTGTAACATCCAACTTACTAAAAGTCCATTTATATTGCCAAATATGTTTAACTAAGTCAATAAAGTATATTATGGGTTTGTTCTTGTTTATGTTAGTTGAAAGGTGAAAATGAGAAAAGTGCACAAAAAAAATGTCTAAGTGTGCACTATAAGGTCATATAGGGGAACCCATGTTCTTGTAGTAAATAAGTGAAAAATATCAAAGTTAGATTCGAATATGGACTTCTGGATCGAATTAGAGGCTGAAATTTTATACTTAAGCTTCTTATAGATTAACTAAGAAATGTGGAAAGTTTCATGCGAAATGAAGTTGAAACGACCAAGATACACATGAGGGACTAAATCTGCCAACAGTGGCAAAGTAGGTTGACTTGTTGACCAAAATAGATCAAAACCAGGTTTTTGCACTCTAAAATGGTTATTTCACCTCTCGAACTTTCACACACACACAAAGTTGTGATTTTCACACACTTGGGCTTAAATCTTTCAATTCTTGATGGTTAATGTCAGATTCTTGAAGAATATGTGATAATTATCAAAGGTATGCTTCTAATTTCAAGTTTATTCCATGTAGTTAGTGATAATCAAGAAGGTTTCGTTTGGCATTTGAAATATTATAAAAAGATGATGATAGATTAGGCTTGTTTGATGATGATTATAGTTTAATCAAGAAAGAAACTTGGAATAATTGGATGCATTAGTATGAAAGCCATGCGATTAAACATTGTTAGTGATGTTTAATGTGGGAAATCATGTTTATATGCTAAATAATGATAAAAATTTCTGAAATTTTGTCAAAAATATGTAATATATGAGATGAAACCCAGAAGATGGTATTGAAATACAAGAGAGTTGGACATTATAATGGATTATATGGGTGAATTGGTATTGAAATAATATGGTTACAACTCTGATTTTGAAAATTCGTAGAAAATTGAATAAAAATCGTATGAATATGAGATTAGTGTCAATGGAAAGATAACATAATAAACTACAATTCATCTTGAAAATGTGAAATTGAAGTTAAGATGGGTAAAAACTACAACATGTACTATGCTGTAAAGCTGAATTTTGATAGCTTGGAGCTCTTTCGCTGTAAAATGCATAATAAATCACTGAAAAATCATAAAAATGTGAGGTCAGTTTCATTAGAAATCTATAAGATAATACTTTTTTTAGTCTTTGTAAGTCATTGGCTAGTTATGAGTCTAAGTATGGTAAAAAATAGGATGAACAGAAGGCTGTACAGCGGAATTGAAAGTAGGATAGTCAAGGTGTAAAAGTGTATATGTAATAACCAAAGAAAATAATAATAATAATAATAATAATAATAATAATAATAATAATAATAATAATAATAATAATAATAATAATAATAATAATAATAATAATAATAATAATAATAATAATAATAATAATAATAATAATAATAATAATAATAATAATAATAATTGTAGGGGTTAAGGGTAGGTGAAAGGGTGGCTTATGCAAGTCAAGAGACTAAGTAACCACCGACCATTTATGGTGGGATGGTTCAAATGCTTTGAAACCGCCGATTGGAGGGTATAACAAGGATGGTGATAGTAACCAGCTTGATAAAGAAATCCATCATCAAGGAGAGCTAGTGGACGCCGGAGAAGAGGACAGAGGTTCGTTACAACGTGTCTAGTTCGACACTAATCGGTAAGACATTTGTATCTCTTGTCTTCTAGTCGTTCGATCATCCGGGTTTTTTTCCATTGGGCAACGGTGGCAAATGGTCACCGCTCACCTCTATCGTTCGTCACAACGGTAATCCCCGTCACACCGGGTTGTTTAATTGTGACCCTTGTGTCGGTTCTAGGAGAGAGAACTTATGTTTAGTGTGTGTGTGTGTGTATATATATATATATATGTATGTGTATATATATATATATAAAGGTATAAGGAAAAAAACATACTTGGTGAAGTTATGATTTGTGCGTGTATATATATATATATATACATATGCCTTTAATGCATGCACCATCATGCATATATATATATATATATATATATAGTTAAATAGGTATATATATATATATATATATAAATTAAATAGTAAACAAATGGGTAAGCATGGTTTATAAAAATAAAAATAAATAAATAAATAAAAAGTGTCAAGAGTACTAGTCGATCATCTCTAGGGAATGACGTATGTTACAATCAACATTATGGTCTTTGATTTGTAAGGAGACGCTAGCCACTTAAAAGAACGCTTGGGGCAACGACTTGTCCTGTGAGTTATACGTGACTTTCCTTAAAATGGTTGCACATTTTATCTACAATTGTATGCAAGCTTGTTGGAATTTTTCCCGGTATATTTGATTATCATGTATGAGTAAAAACGTGTCTTATTTTATAAAATATGTTGTGTGGCAATGGGGGTTGTACTACGGTATGATTCCATAATGACAAGCATGCTTTTTGAGCTTGTCTAAGTCGTAAGTGCGGACATGCTATGTGAGTTCGCCAAGTAATGCTGTGTGAGGTAGTCATCTCCCGTAACGCCACTAACTTTGTAAAGTGTGTTGTTTAAACTGTATGGATGATAAATTATGATTCTTTGTGAAATCTATTTTTTACGTGGTGTATGCATTAAAACCGATAATTCACTAGGCCCTTGGCTCACCCAACTCCTTTAAAAAACAATTATGCAACCAGATCGTCTCATTCTCGGGAATAGTAGCAAGGGAAAGGAGAAAGTTTAGAACCGGCTATTGCGGAATAAAGACTTGGCGTGGAGACTATCTGGGATTTGATATGGATATCATTAGACAAACGTTCCTTTTAAGTTTTATTAGTTTAAAAAAAAATACTTCCGTTGCGTTAAACTATTTAGACTTTATGACTTATTTATACATGAACGATTATTATATTAAGAAGAAAAAAAAATTGGGTCTTTACAAGTGGTATCAGAGCCAGGTTTAAGAGAAATAGGTTATTAACTTTAGCCTAAGCATAAACTGAGATGGAGTACAAAAGATAGAAACGGGGAAAAGGTTATATGATTTAATATTGTTATAGTTGGTTAATTTGCTTTTAAGCTTTGGAAGTGTGTTGGAAGATGATATATTCTTCACTGTGATTTTGTAGGAATATGGTTTATACCAAGCATACTAGGAGCATTGGCCATCGAGGAGGTAGGGTCAGAGGTAGTGTGGTAGCTAGACTAGGACCAAGGCGTGGAATCGGGGAACGTGACCGTACAAGCTCTAGCCGCAGTAGCAGACACTCTAGGAGGTTGAGGAGCAGTTCTAGGAGTCACGTGAGTGTTTCAAGGGCTGAGCCATCTCAACCCACACCTTTAGAGGATTCTTCCTATGATCCAATAAAGGAACCTTATGAGGAGTACACCCCACGCATGCCTACTCGTGCGGACTTAGAAGAGAATATAACGAATTTACGTGGTGAGAATGCTGAACTGAGAACAGAATTGTCTAAGATTCAAGTGGAAAAGACCAAAGTGGAATTGTGGTTGAACAACTTACAAATGGAACATGTTAACTTAGGGGGAGAGTTAAACAAGGTGTTAAAAGGAAATAATGAACTTTGGGAGAGCAACCACGACATGGCGTGGAAGTGTGTGGAGTTAGAGTGGAAAAGAAGGATTGCCGCCCGGTCTTGGAAAGTGCGATTGGGAGACCGTGCTTGCTATTTTTGTGGAGTCGCCTTGAAATATGTAAGCTTGACCAAGGAGTATTTTTCCAACTGGGCACACCAATACCATCATGGCCCGAGCTTGGGATTTATCTGGAAATACCGTCCAGGTGACACTTATGAGGAATTTGTAAAGATCATTAATTACCCACGGACATGCCTTGAGTGAGAGGGTGAGAAAGAAACATAGTCTTGCGTTAAGTACTTTTGGTTTGGTTATGATATTTTTGGATATTAACCGGCCTTGAGCTTGGTTTATTTTGTTTTATTTTGGTTTATGTAATAGCCAGTTTGGCGTAGTAAGCAAGACTTATGTATTGACTTATCTTTTGCAAGCAATATATTATTTTAGTGTTTAATCTTATTGAGTGAATGTTGGATTAGTAAGTTATGAATAAATATGCTTATAAATGTAAATGTTTAACACACACAGCAATAATGTCGCGACGGTCAGGAAAGACAGCATCGGTTACACTCGATGCAGTAAACCCACCACCTATAGGAGCTACCCCTATTGTACAAGAGACCCGACCAGCATCGGCTGCAGCCACAAGGACCGCTAGCACGCGGGGACGAGGTCGAGGAAGAGGAAGGGGGCGAGGTAGGACTCTAGCGACACAAAATGAACCTAAGCCCTCTGTGCAAGAAAGCTCTGCATCTGGAAGAGGTCGAGGCAGGGGGCGAGGACGAACCCGGGCAACCATTGCTACCCCTGTAGGCATCATCTCTCAGGAGGTGACAAGAGCCTTGCAAGTTGCCTTGCTTGCAGTTATAGCTCGGGTGCGAGAGGCAGAGCTGAGAAATCAGGAGGATAGGGTGATAAGCAATAGAAGAGGAGATATTAGCGATTCAAACAAGAGAGAAGACTGACATGAGAGGTCAAGACCAAATAGTCTGTCAACACGGGAATGGGACAACAAGGTTGTAATTATAAGACCTTTCTAGAATGTAAGCCCCAACCCTTTCAAGGTGACCCTAACCCAGTGGCAGCTATGAGGTGGATAAAAGAGACATAAGTGATTTTCAAAATCAGTAAGTGTGGGGAGGAAGATAAGGTGACATATGTGACATCTATGCTAAAATCAGAAGCCCTTTTCTGGTGGGAAATAATTACGAACTTAAGGGGCGAAGAGGTTGTGGCAAGAGTGACATGGGGTGAGTTTAAGGTATTATTTAATGAGAAGTTTTGTCCTCGAACTGCGATAAAGCAACTGGAAGAGGAATTTTTAAGGTTGGAACAAGGAATCATGACAGTCCGGGAGTATACAACAAGTTTTACAGAAAAAGCGAGGTTTGCTGAGCACTATGTTTCGACTGAGGAAAGACGGGTAGAGCGGTACATCTGGGGACTGAAAGCATCCATTCAAGAATTTGTTCTTACTATGAGTCCAACCACATTTCAGGAGGCAGTAAACGCTGTGGAAATTCGACAGAAAGAGATGAATCGTCAAGATGATGAGCGGGGCCAAATAAAAAGAAAATGGGAAGGTCCAAGCAATGAAACCAAGAAGCCAAAGTTTATGGGTTCAGAAAAGAAGACATGGCAAGAGCAAGCTGCTAAACCATGTCCTAAATGCAACCGTGTGCATAAAGGAGAATGCATGGTTAAGCCAAGGATGTATTACCAATATGGGAAGCCAGGACATCTGTCTCAGGATTGCAAGGTTGAGCGAAGGGAGCGACTATGCTTCATTTGTAAGTCACCCAACCATATACAAAAAAATTGCCCTCAGAAGAAAAATGAGCATACGACAAGTCAAGGTGGAAGTCGAAATGGAAAAAGGGAGGAAAGGCGACCTGAAGTAACTAAGTCAAAAGGAAAGCTTTCCACATGACAGCAACAGAGGCCGAGGAGACACCAGACGTGGTGCCAGGTACCTTTCTGGTCAACTCTGTACGTGCTAGAGTACTCTTTGATTCTGTAGCAAACCGTTCTTTTGTGTCTACAATTTTTTGTGATTATTTGCATAGAGTACCAAAGCCTTTAAGTTCAGCCGTAGAGGTAGAAACTGCCGATGATAATAGGGTGATAATTAGAGAGGAGTATGATGACTGCATTATTCAGATAGATGGTTGTTCGATTCCGTTAAAACTACTCCTTATGACTCTCGAGGAATTTGATATAATAATTGGAATGGACTAGTTAGTTGTAAACTGGGCAAGAATTATGTGTAACAAAAAGATAATTCAGACTGAATTACCCGATAATGGAGCCATAGTAATTTATGGAGATGGAAGAAATAGGAAATCTAGCATGATCTCCCTAGTTAAAGCGAGGCGGTGTGTAAGAAAGGGATGTCAAAGTTATTTGGCATATGTGATAGATGCTAGGAAAGAGAAAAAGAGTATGGAAGGCATTGTTGTTATGAGGGAGTTTCCTGAAGTCTTTCTAGATGACCTGACAAGTCTACCACCCGAGAGACAGGTAGATTTTCAGATTGATATTGTACCGAGAGCTACACCTGTAGCTCGAACACCCTATCATCTTGCACAGTCAGAAATGAAAGAGCTGATGACTCAGTTGCAGGAGTTGTTAGACAAGGGTTTTATACGCCCTAGCACCTCGCCCTGGGGAGCGCCCGTATTTTTCGTTAACAAGAAGGATGGCAGAATGCGGATGTGCATCGATTACCGCGAGCTTAACAAAGTAACCATAAAGAATAGGTACCCACTTCTACGGATTAATGATCTTTTCGATCAACTTCAGGGTGCCCGTTATTTTTCAAAGATCGACTTACGATCAGGTTATCATCAGCTGAAGGTCCGGGAAGAGGATGTGCCTAAAACAGCTTTTAGGACTAGGTATGTGCATTATGAATTTCTAATAATGCCATTTGGGTTGACAAATGCACTTGCAGCTTTCATGGATTTGATGAACAGAGTATGCAAGCCTTACCTAGATAAGTTTGTCATTGTTTTCATAGATGATATTTTAATTTATTCTCGTACTGAGAATGAGCATGAGCAGCATCTTCGTGCGGTTTTAAGGTTGCTGAAACAGGAAAAATTATACGTGAAGTTTTTGAAGTGTGAGTTATGGCTCCGAGAAGTTCAATTTCTAGGGCATGTGGTGACTTAAGAAGGAATAAATGTAGATCCGGCCAAGGTAGACGCTATTAAGAAATGGGAGCCACCAAGGACCCTTTATGAAATACGAAGCTTCATGGGATTAGTTGGTTATTACCGAAGGTTTATTCAGGACTTTTCATGAATAGCGGCATTGTTGACAGCACTAACAAAGAAAGGTGTGAAGTTTGATTGGAAATCATCTCAAGAAGAGGCATTTAGAGTCTTGAGGATTAAATAAATGAGGATGGAGGTCACTTTTAGTTGGACCGATAAACTCAAGAAAATTCAAAAAGAAGCTTTAGTAGAGGGAAACTTGAAGGGAGAGAGAATGGCAGGGGTTGGTCCGTTGCTTGAAGATAATAATCAGGGGTTAAAATGCTATAAATGCAGAATTTGGATTCCTCGCTTGGGCAACTTCCGTAACCAAGTGTTAGACGAAGCCCATAAATCTCGATATTCCATTCATCCGGGTAACAATACGATGCATCGAGATCTTCGTCAATCTTACTGGTGGCCATGGATGAAGAAAGACATAGCCCATTATGTCGAAAGGTGTTTGACATGTCTACAAGTCAAAGTTGAACATCAACGACCATATGGTAAGCTACAATCCCTAGAAATTTCGATGTGGAAGTGGGACCACATCACAATGGATTTTGTGACGAAACTCCCAAGAACACCAAAGGGTTATGATGCTATCTGGGTAATCGTTGATAGACTCACGAAGTCTGCACATTTTCTGTCAATTAAAAAAACATACACGATGGAAAGACTAACTAAGTTGTATATAGACGAGATTGTGACTCGTCATGGTGTTCCATTATCAATAGTCTTTGATAGGGACAGTCTGTTCACCTCTACGTTTTGGCAAGGCTTTCAAAGAGAGTTGGGCTCACGAGTAAAGTACAGCCTATCACCCGTAAACATATGGTCAAAGCGAGAGGACCATTCAAATTCTAGAAGATATGTTGCAGTCATGTGCTATCGATTTTGCAGGGTCATGAGAAAGCCATATTCCATTGAAAGAATTTTCCTATAACAATAGCTATCATGCTAGCATTCAAGTCGCACCATATGAAGCTTTGTATGGGAGAAATTGTCGAATGCCATTATATTTGGATGAGGTAGTTGAAAGACAATTGGCTGGCCCCGAAATAGTTCAACAGACTACCGACAAGATAAAACAAATAAGGGAAAGGTTAAAGGTACCACAAGATAGACAGAAAAGCTACACCCATTAAAAGACGAAATCCGATAGAATTTCAAGTTGGGACAAAGTTATGCTTAAGATTTCACCAAGGAAAGGCGTAATTCGTTTTGGAAAGCGAGGGAAGCTAAGTCCTCGTTATATTGGTCCTTACAAGATAACTGAAAGGGTAGGCGAGGTTGCCAACTGTTAAAACCCACAATTCATGGGATCAACACCTGCAAGTTGGAACTACCTGAAGAACTTCAAGGCATCAATAACACGTTTCACGTATCTAATTTAAGAAAGTGTTTGGCGGATGTGAACACCGAGGTAACTCTTACGGATATAAAAGTGGACAAGACACTAAGTTATATTGAAGATCCAGAGGCAATTATCGATAGGAAAGTGAGGAAGCTAAGAAACAAAGAAATTGCTCTCGTGAAAGTTTAATGGAAACATCATAGGGGGCCGGAAGCAACTTGGGAACCTGAAAAGAATATGAGGTTGAAATACCCCAATTTATTTGCATAAGAAAATTTTCGAGGACGAAATTTTGTTAAGGGGGGAAGTTTGTAATACCCAAAGAAAATAATAATAATAATAATGGTTAGTAATTGTAGGGGTTAATGGTAGGTGAAAGGGTGGCTTATGCAGGTCAAGAGACTAAGTAACCACCGACCATTTATGGTGGGATGGTTCAAATGCTTTGTGACCCTTGTGTCGGTTCTAGGAGATAGAACTTATGTTTAGTATGTGTGTGCGTATATATATATATATATATATGTGTGTGTGTGTGTGTGTATATATATATATATAAAGGTATAAGAAAAAAACATACTTGATGAAGTTACGATTTGTGCGTGTATATATATATATATATGCATTTAATGCATGCACCATCATGCATATATATATATAGTTAAATATGTATATATATATATATTAAATAGTAAACGGGTAAGCATGGTTTATAAAAATAAAAATAAATAAATAAATAAAAAGTGTCAAGAGTACTAGTCGATCACCTCTAGGGAATGACGTATGTTACAATCAACATTATGGTCTTTGATTTGTAGGGAGACGCTAGCCACTTAAAAGAACGCTTGGGGCAACAACTTGTGCTGTGAGATATACGTGACTTTCCTAAAAATGGTTGCACACTTTATCTACAATTGTATGCAAGCTTGCTGGAATTTTTCTTGGTACATTTGTATATCATGTATGCTTAAAAATGTGTCTTATTTTATAAAATATGTTGTGTGGCAATGGGGGCTGTACTACGGTATGATTCCATAATGACAAGCATGCTTTGTGAGTTTGTCTAAGCCGTAAGTGCGGACATGCAGTGTGAGTTTGCTAGGTAATGCTGTGGGAGATAGTCATTTCCCGTAACGCCACTAACTGTATGCATGATAAATTATGACGCTTTGTGAAATCTAATTTTTACATGGTGTATGCATTAAAATCGTTAATTCACTGAGCCCTTGGCTCACCCAACTCCTTTCAAAAACAATTATGCAACCAGGTCATCTCATTCTCGGGAATAGTAGCAAGGGAAAGGAGAAAGTTTAGAACTGGCTATTGCGGAATAAAGGCTTGGCCTGGAGACTATCTGGGATTTGATATGGATATCATTAGACAAACGTTCCTTTCAAGTTTAATTAGTTTAAAAAAAATACTTCGGTTGCATTGAACTATTTAGACTTTATGACTTATATATACATTAACGATTATTATATTAAGAAGAAAAAAAATTGGGTCATTACAGTATAACTTGAGATTGGTATATATTTTGTTAATGATACTTGAAATGTTTACTCCAGGGGCTATATTAAGGCTATTTAGAGCTTCTAAAGGTCTAATGCTATTGTTGGTTAGAATTGGATGTTACCGCCTTCGGTTGTTTACATTGAAGCATTGTGAGTTTATATCGAACTTATACTTATATGTAGTATATGTATATTCTTTCTTACTGTAAATTAGTTGATTTTGCATGCATTATTTTGTATGGTGATTCCCATGGCCTTGTATTGGTAAATGTATTTCATTTCGCGTTGTCGGTCGAGTCCGGATCCGAGACTGTTTCTTTGGCCTCTTGGTAAACCATGATCTACGGTATTACTTCGAGTGATATGCTGTCGCATGGTGATGTCCACGTATCCCAAGGAGAGGGAGGTTGGGTGTGGCATATTGGTTGTCGTATTCACGTATCTCGATTGGTAAGGAGCCGGTTGTGAGTACTTTGCACGGGACCTGTAGACGAAGAGGGGGTGTGGTGCACATGTATACTTTATTCTTGGTAGTGATATGTTTGTTGTGCTTTAATTGATGCCACTTTTGCGAATCATATGGCAAGGTATGTTGACTGTTTGACTTGTAGTTAAACGATTCATTCTGTTTTGTTTTGGTTATTATTCGTATTTTACATCATATTTATACGCTTCGGTATAATCTCACTAAGCCTTGTCGCTTATCCCATTAGAATAAACATTTTTTTTCAGGAAGGACGGTAACGGTCAAGGGTAAAGATAAGGCAAGTAAATTTGTTAGAAGGATTCAAGATCCCGAACGTCATTT